GCGTGATATACGTTAGTGTGGGTGTGGATGAGAGGTGGGCGTGGTATAGGCGTTAGTGTGGGTGTGTGGATGAGGGTGTGGGCGTGGATATGGGCGTTAGTGTGAGCGTGGATAAGGGTTAGTGTGGGCGTGGATATAGGCGTTATGTGGCATGGTTATAGGCGTTTGTGGGCGTGATATAGGCGTTAGTGTTGGCGTGGATATAGGCGTTAGTGTGGGCGTGGATAAGGGTGTTGGTGTGATATAGGCGTTAGTGTGGGCGTGGATAAAGGCGTTACTGTGGGCGTGGGCGGGAACAGCAGTGAACCATAAAATTTTATAGGTTTTACTGAGTTATGGATCAGTTGGTTACGGCCATCTGTCTTGGAGGGAGGGGGAGAGAGGGGGGGAGAGGGAGAGAGAGAGTGGGGAAGGTGAGGAAGAGAGAGGGAGTGAGAGGATGGAGAGGAGAGGGAGGAGGGATAGACGATTAGATAAAGGGAGACAGGGAGGAAGGAACAGTGGATGAAAGAGGGAGAGGGAGGGAGAGAATAGGCACCCAGGGAGAGAGATAGAGAAAGGGAGAGTGGGAGGAGAGGAAAGGTAAGGAGGGAAGGTAGGAGACGGTGAGGAAGGAAGGCAAAGGAAAATGAGAGATAGAATGGGGGGAGGGAGGGAGAGTGAAGGAAGGAGGAAGAGAGTGAAGGAAGGGAGGAAGTAGAATGAAGGAAGGAGGAAGGAGTGAAGGAAGGGAGGAAGTAGAGTGAAGGAAGGGAGGAAGTAGAGTGAAGGAAGGGAGGAAGTAGAGTGAAGGAAGGGAGGAAGTAGAGTGAAGGAAGGGAGGAAGTAGAATGAAGGAAGGGAGGAAATAGAGTGAAGGGGGGGGAGGCCATTAAGGGTTTAGGCAGCCGTTCTTGTATCTCTGTTGACGTTCGTGAGAAGATCCGCTTGTGTTCGTGAATCCGGTAATGTCCACGAAGATATTTCTCAGAATCAAGAAACAACATGAGAGGGAGAGAAGGCAGTAAGAAACACAATGTCTCCTTTCGTTGTGATGAGAGATATTGTGACGTCTTATGGCGACACTAGCGACATGTGCAGTACAGGAATCATAACAACTATCTTTCCTCCAGCAGATGTGTACATGGGTAGGTAGGTGTGTGTGTGTGTGTGCACCATCATACACTCATGACAACACAACACACTGCTCTCTCCTCCCAGCGCTGTAAGCTATTTTTTTTCACTTCAATATGGCGGCGATAGAGTTTTCCAACTTGTGACGTATAAGCCGCGTTGCTCCTTCCTCTATTACTTCAACAACAACTGCCTGATTCATTCGAGTTTGTTTACGTTCACGAGTAAATCCGGGTTTCTTTGTATGTACGTAAACATCTGAAGGGATTTTCTTCGGTATCCAAGCACCACTGCCTTCCTGCTTCTCATAATACGTCTTTGCAAGTGAATCAGCTGGGCCTCATGTGTACAACTGTGTATATAAATATTTTTCCAGGACCCGACACACACACACACACACACACACACAGAGTTCCTTATGTACCCAGTTCATGTTTACATACGCGAGTTAATCTCTTTGTATTCGTGTTTACTCTTGTATTTACAATTATTTATCATAGATTAATATACTCTTATTTATGTCATTTTTGTGCGTTTATTTACATATCCGAATGAATCTGACGGCGTTTTTATACACGCTTACAATTATATACACAAAGATATTTTTTTAATGTTCTTGTATTTTTACTTGTTTTGTCGTTCTTATGTTTTTGTTGACATATCCGAGTAAATCCGTCAGCGTTCGTACATACACTTTAAGTATTCGACTCCCGTTCGCGATGTTTTGTTTACATATACGGGTGAATCCGACTGTGTTCGTCTATATCCATTCTTTTAAAAAACACGTCCATGGAAATCAACATAATTTCTTCTGAATTTGGCCTCGCAGCATCCGAACAACTGAGAGACCGAGATAGCAACTTGAGACAGTCTCTGATCCCCGAGTAATCTCACTAATCCTATTCCAACTTCACGAAGGTAAAAAATCTCCCTCCTGTGAATTAAAAAAGAAAGAAAGAAAGAAGAAAAATCCAATCTTAGATCTTATCCTTCGCCAACAAACAAACACATTCATGAATCTCAAGAAAGCTTTTGTGTTTTGTTTTACTCGTGGATGTTTTTTTTTTCGACTTTGTATTCGATATATATGTTTCTTCTGCCTTTGTTCCGAGGAAGAGGAAGAGGAAGATGATGGAAGACCAGGCTTGAGTCAACACTTCCCAAGACGACTGCGTTGAATTGATCGAATCTGCATTAACTGACTCACTGCTGGAGGGGGGAAAAAAGAAATTCGGAGATGGTAACACGATGTCTGGAGGTGCCGAGTAAGATTTTTTTTTTCTTTCCTCACGCTTCACATCCGCTGCCGATTGAGAGAGTGTGTGTGTGTGTGTGTGTGTGTGTGTGTGTGTGTGTGTGTGTGTGTGTGTGTGGCAGGTGTTCTGTGTATTTATATTTTGTCATAATATCTACGAGGTTTCTCTCTCTCTCTCTCTCCTAACCTAACCTAATCACATCTAAGCAGTATAAACCGGCCGTGGTCGACATATCCGGCCACCCAACTATGAACTGCCTGGCTGGATAACACACAATTGTAATTTTATCATATATATATTTTTGCAGCTCTTTATTAACTAAAAACTATAATATTCTCAAAAGTATTACGAAAATTACGTGGTAGTGGAGCCTGGTAGTAATATTTTCTTATTTTTACTTCCTCTTATCTAATTATTATCAGTATATGTTATCTACTGAGAATTCCTGGTAATATTTTGTCTGAATGGTAGTCTGTATAAAATAAATATTGTATTATTAGTTGGAAATTTATCTTACGACTCTTTGGGGAATTATTTTTAATTAGAAGATAAAGAAAGATGCAATTTAACATCTTTATAAAGGAGAAAATTTTGTCATACTAACTTTTGAGAATCTAAGCAGAAACAATACCCAAAACAAGCATCAACACTCTACCTATGGTATATATACTGCATATTTATACTTTACACCCGCCGGGAAAGGGAGAAAATAATAAAAATATACTGCATTACCCCGCGGGAGCTGCCCATCACAAGCCGCCATAATACAATTTGTTCTGGCGCTCGTTTCCCCAGCGCAAGTGGCTTTTTGAGGGTGGGTGTTATGCGTCCCCGCGGAGTGATACACGGAACATGGCGATTAACACTCACTCCCGCCAAAAATGTGTCCCTGAGAGCTGGCGTGTTACATCAACCACCTTGTTAACGCTGCCTTTATTTATATGTCTACAGTATTTGGATTGTTTTTCCTGAGTTATCTTTTATTTATTTATTTGTTTAGTTTTCTTTATTTGTATATTTTGTCGTGTCTTTTTTTTTCTTTTACCTATTTGTTGTATATTTTATTTATTGTCTTCCCGGATTCGAACCCAGGCACCAAAACCACATACCCGGATCTGAACCCAACCACCAACACCACAAACCCCGAATTCAAACCCAGGCACCAAAAACCACATACCCCGGATTCGAACCCAACCACCAACACCACAAACCCCGGATTCGAACCCAGGCACCGGATTCACAGTAGATGGGTTCACTCTCCCTACCACCACCACCATCTCCTAAACGCCTAATTACCATATCAAATCACAAATACGTCATTTTCAGATCTAATTAGCCGTCACAACATAATTAACATGGCGAGTAATTACGTTTTGTTATTTCAGCAACACAAAGAAGTAATAGTCGTCAGGTCTGGGGCGAGAGATGATTGATAATTATTAAGGTAAATTAATTAGTTGAAATATCGTCATGGTTGGATGTCTTCAGGATAATTTGTTTCGTAAGTTTATTATTATCATTATTATTATTATTATTATTATCGATGTTGTTTTTATTATTATTATTATTATTATTATTATTATTATTATTATTATTATTATTATTATTATTATTATCGTTGTTGTTTTTATTGTTATTATTATTGCTATTATAATGATTAGTAGTATCTATCTATCTATCTATCTGTCTATTCGTCTGTCTGTCTGTCTAAAATAAATAAACACACAGGTTTTGGCGCTCGTTAGTTTGGTGTAGTGGACCATAAGTCAACTCATTTAATATAACAAGAGGCAGCAGGATAAAAGGCTTCACATAATACTATATACATAATACTATAAAATTAAGCTAAAAGGGTTAAAAACTACATTATCGTCCATGTTTAGAGTAATCAGCATAAATTGTTTTGGCAGAGGCACGAGATGGCGTTCATAAATGAATTAAAATCTCACTTTTCCCCGCGCCAACATGAAGCAACTACCGGGTACTGAAAAAAAAAATGTAAATCCCACACCTTTATGGGTTTGGAGTGTGCTGATTGGTTGTAGGCTATATGACGTCATCTAGTCGTCTATATCTCTCATTGGTATATCAACCCTCGCATCCATACAAACAAATATTTATTTTATATTTTATTTTTTACTGAATTTTAGCTCGGTGTATATAAGGGTGCGGTGGTCGAGTGGATAACAGGGCTGCCATCCAATTCTAAGCGTCTCTGTTTCTCACTGGGGGCTCCCCTTGTCCACCCACCTGTGAATGGGTACCAAAGGTTACAGTTGAGGAAGGGGAGGTGGTCGAGTACAGTGCCTGATATGATGACTCCTTATGTACTCAGGTTATTATTTAGTGTAGGACCTCTAGGATTTTCCCCAGGACCTCTTCATAAGATACCGCAGAACCCCCAGAACTCTCCTAGGACACCAAACCCCCCCAAGACAGGAACCCCCAGGCTCCCCCAGGACAGCCCAGGACCTCTTAGAACTTCTCCAGAACTCCCCAGGGACCCCTCAGAACTCCCCAGGACCCCTCAAGAACTCCCCCAGGACCCTTAGAACTCCCCAGGACCCCTCAGAGCTCCTCCAGGACCCTTAGAACTCCCCAGGACCCCTCAGAACTCCCCAGGACCCTTAGAACTCCCAGGACCCCTCAGAACTCCCCCAGGATCCTCAGAACTCCCCCAGGACCCCTCAGGAACTCTCCCAGGACCCCTCAGAACTCTCCCAGGACCCCTTAGAACTCTCCTGGGACCCCTTGGGAGCTCTCCCAGGACCCCTCAGAACTCCCCAGGACCCTTGGAACTCTCCGGACCCCTTAGAACTCTCCAGGACCCCTCAGAACTCCCCCAGGACCCTCAGAACTCCCCCAGGACCCCTCAGAACTCTCCCAGGACCCCTTGAAACTCTCCCAGGGATCCTTGAGAACTCTCCCAGGACCCTCAGAACTCCCCAGGACCCCTTAGAACTCTCCCAGGACCCCTTAGAACTCTCCCTGACCCTCAGAACTCCCCAGGACCCTCAGAACTCCCCCAGGACCCTCAGAACTCTCCCAGGTTAGAACTCTCAAGGACCCCTCAGAACTCCCCCAGGACCCCTCAGAACTCCCCAGGACCCCTCAGAACTCTCCCAGGACCCCTTAGAACTCCCCCAGGACCCTCAGAACTCTCCCGGGACCCTCAGAACTCCCCCAGGACCCCACAGAACTCTCCCAGGACCCCCTCAGAACTCCCCAGGACCCCTTAGAACTCCCCCAGGGCCCCTTAGAACTCCCAGGACCTCAAACTCCCCAGGACCCTCAGAACTCCCCAGGACCCCTCAGAACTCTCCCCAGGACCCTCAGAACTCTCCCAGGACCCCTTAGAGACTCTCCCCAGGACCCTCAGAACTCCCCCAGGACCCTTAGAACTCCCCAGGACCCTCAGAACTCCCCAGGACCCTCAGAGAACTCCCCAAGGACCCCTCAGAACTCTCCCAGGACCCTTAGAACTCTCCCAGGACCCTCCAGAACTCCCCAGGACCCTTAGAACTCTCCCAGGACCCTTAGAACTCTCCCAGGACCCCTTAGAACTCTCCAGGACCCCTCAGAACTCCCAGGACCCTCAGAACTCCCCAGGAACCCTCAGAACTCTCCGAGGACCCCTTAGGAACTCTCCAGGACCCCTCAGAACTCCCCAGGACCCCTCAGAGAACTCTCCCAGGACCCCTCAGAACTCTCCCAGGACCCCTCAGAACCCCAGGACCCCTTAGAACTCTCCCAGGACCCTCAGAACTCTCCCAGGACCCTCAGAACTCTCCCAGGACCCTCAGAACTCTCCGAGGACCCTCAAGAACTCTCCCAGGACCCCTCAGAACTCCCAGGACCCCTCAGAACTCTCCCAGGACCCCTTAGAACTCCCCCAGGACCCTTAGAACTCTCCCCAGGACCCCTCAGAACTCTCCCAGGACCCTCAGAACTCCCCAGGACCCCTCAGAACTCCCCCAGGACCCTCAGAACTCCCCAGGACCCTTAGAACTCCCCCAGGACCCTCAGAACTCTCCCAGGGACCCCAGAACTCTCCCAGGACCCTGGGGAATCTCCCCAGGACCCTCAGAACTCTCCCAGGGACCCCAGAACTCCCCCAGGACCCTCAGAGACTCTCCAGGACCCCTCAGGAACTCCCCCAGGACCCTCAGAACTCCCCAAGGACCCCCCAGACTCCCCAGACCCCCAGAACTCCCCCAGGACCCCCAAACTCTCCCAGGAACCCCAGAACTCCCCAAGACCCCCAGACTCCCCCAAGACCCTCAGAACTCTGACTCCAGAACTCCCCAAGACTCTGAACTCCCCCAGGATCCCAGAACTCCCCAAGACCCCCAGAACTCCTCAGGACCCCCAAGAACTCCCCCAGGACCCCCCAGGAACTCCACCAAGACCCCCAGAGGCATGAATTGGAGGTTTGAGATAAATCACCAACAATCCTCGTCTAGTCGTGGAATTCAGGTCGTTATGAGGTAAATCGGGACTAATTTATCAGCCGGAGTGTCCGCCAGGTAGAGAAACTTGGCCCATTCATCCTGGTGTCTTCCGCCCTCCTTCCCTACCTCCCTACCTCCCTCAGTCCCTACCTCCCTCAGCCCCTACCTCCCTACTCCCTACACTCCCTCAGTCCCCTCCACCTCCCCTACCTCCCTCAGCCCCTACCCTACCTCCCCTCCTTCCTTCCTTCCCTACCTCCCTACCTCCCGACCTCCCTCAGTCCCTACCTCCCCTACCTCCCCTACCTCCCCTACCTCCCTACCTCCCTCAGTCCCCTACCTCCCTCCGTCTACCTCCCTACCTTCCTCAGCCCCTACCTCCCCTACCTCCCTCAGTCCCTACCTCCCTGCCTCCCCTACCTTCCTCAGCCCCTACTCCCTACCTCCCTACCTCCCTCCCAATTCCCTACCTCCCTGCCTCCCCTACCTCCCTACCTTCCTCGTCCCTACCTCCCCTACCTCCTCAGCCCCTACCTCCCTACCTCCCTACCTCCCCACCTCCCCCTACCTCCCTACCTCCCTCCTGTCCCACCTCCCCTGCCTCCCCTACCTCCTACCTTCTCAGCCCCTACCTCCCCTGCACCTCCCTACCTCCCCTACCTCCCTACCTCCCCTCAGTCCCCTACCTCCCCTCGCCCCCTACCTCCCCTACTCCCCCTCCCTCAGTCCCTACCTCCCTACCTCCCTACCTCCCCTCCCCTACCTCCCCTACCTCCCCTTCCTTCCTTCCCCTACCTCCCCACCTCCCAGCCTCCCCTCCCAGTCCCCTACCTCCTCCTCCCCTGCCTCCCTACCTCCTCGTCCCCTACCTCCCTCCCAGTCCCTCCCTACCTTCCACCCCTACCTCCCTACCTCCTCATCCCTCCCTGCCTCCTACCTTCCTCAGCCCCTACCTCCCTACCTCCCTACCTCCCTCAGTCCCTACCTCCCTGCCTCCCCTGCCCTACCTTCCCCTCAGTCCCTACCTCCCCCCTCCTCACCCTACCTCCCTACCTCCCTGCCTCCCTACCTCCCTACCTCCCTAGTCCCCTACCTCCCTGCTCCCCTACCTCCCTACCTCCCTCAGTCCCTACCTCCCTGCCTCCCTACCTCCCCTACCTTCCTCAGTCCCTACCTCCCCTACCTCCCCACCTCCCTCAGTCCCCTACCTCCCTGCCTCCCCTACTCCCCTTCCTCAGTCCCCTACCTCCTACCTCCCTACCTTCCTTAGCCCCTACCTCCTGCCTCCCCTACCTCCTGCCTCCCCTCCCAGTCCCCTACCTCCCCTCCTCCCCTACCTTCCCTCAGTCCCCACCTCCCCACCTCCCTACCTCCCTCAGTCCCTACCTCCCCTACCTCCCCTACCTTCCTCAGTCCCTACCTCCCCCTCCCCTACCTTCCTCCAGCCCCTACCTCCCCTACCTCCCTACCTTCCTCTGGTCCCCTACCTCCTGCCTCCCTACACCTCCCTCAGTCCCTACCTCCCTGCCTCCCTACTCCCTACCTCCCTCAGTCCCCTACCTCCCTACCTCCCTACCTTCCTCAGTCCCCCCACCTCCCCTACCTCCCTACCTCCTCCCAGTCCCTACCTCCCTCTCCCTACCTCCCTACACTCCCTCAGTCCCCTACCTCCCTGCCTCCCCTACCTTCCCTCAGTCCCCACCTCCCCTACCTCCCCTCCTCCCTCCTCCCCTACCTCCTCCCCTACCTTCCTCAGTCCCTACCTCCCTGCCTCCCCTTCCTCCAGTCCCCTACCTCCCTGCCTCCCTACCTTCCTCCAGTCCCCCCACCTCCCTACCTCCCTACCTCCCTCGTCCCCTGCCTCCCCCACCTCCCCTCCTCTCCCCTGCTCCCTACCTCCCCTACCTTCCTCCAGTCCCTACCTCCCCTCCCCTACCTTCCTCTCCCCCCACCCCTCCCTCCCTCACTTCCTCAGTCCCTACCTCCCTACCTCCCCTACCTTCCTCAGTCCCTACCTCCCTGCCTCCCTACCTCCCCACCTCCAGTCCCTACCCCCTACCTCCCTACCTCCCTACCTTCTCCCTCTCCCTACCTCTACCTTCCTCCGTCCTCCCTCCCCTCCCTACCTTCCTCAGTCCCCTACCTCCCTACCTGCCTCCCTCCCACCTCCCCTCCCTCCTTGTCCCTACGCCCCCACCTCCCCCCCTCCCTCAGTCCCCTCCTGCCTCCCCTCCCTGCCTCCTCGTCCCCTACCTCCCCTGCCTCCCTACCTTCCTCAGTCCCCTTCCCTACCTCCCTACCTCCCCTCAGTCCCCTACCTCCCCCTCCCTGTCCCCTACCTTCCTCAGTCCCCTACCTCCCCTACCTCCCTACCTTCCTCAGCCCCACCCCTGCCTCCCTACCTCCCTACCTCCCCTGGCCCCTACCTCCTGCTCCCTACCTCCCTCCTTCCTCAGTCCCTACCTCCCTACCTCCCTCCCTCCCTCTCCTCCTCTCCCCTACCCCCTCCATCCCTACCTCCCCCTACCTCCACTCCTCAGTTCCCCTACCTCCCTACCTCCCTACCTTCCTCAGCCCCTACCTCCCTGCCTCTCTCCCCTACCTCCCTCCAGTCCCCCCTCCCTGCCTCCCCTACCTTCCTCAGCCCCTACCTCCCCTCCCTCCTTACCTCCCCTCCCTCAGTCCCTACCTCCTGCCTCCCTACCTTCCTCAGCCCCCCTCCCTACCTCCTCAGCCCCTACCTCCCTGCCTCCCTACCTCCCTACCTTCCCTCCTTCCTCCCTCCCCTACCTCCCTCAGTCCCCTACCTCCCCTCCCATTACCTTCGTCTCTCTCTCTCTCTCTCTCTCTCTCTCTCTCTCTCTCTCTCTCTCTCTCCTTCTCTCTTTCTCTCTCCATCTCTCCTTCGTCTCTCCTTCCATCTATTATATTCTCTCCCTCCATTTCCTCCTTCTCTTCCTTCATTACCTGCCTCCCTTTTTCGTCATTATCCATCCTTCTCTCCTTTACCTCCGTCTGTTCCTCCCAACCCTCCCTCTTCTCTTCTCCCTCCTGCTTTCCCTCTTCCTCCCTCTTCTCCCCTCTCCCTTCTCTTTCCCCGGATGCTGGTGGGAGGAAAGGGGAACAACTTTCTCCCCTCCGTAGCGTTTTTTGATAAGGGTGAAGGGGGAGGAAGGAGGGTCTCTCTCTCTCTCTCTCTCTCTCTCTCTCTCTCTCTCTCTCTCTCTCTCTCTCTCTCTCTCTCTCTCTCTCTCTCTCTCTCTCTCTCTCTCATCGGGTTGTCTAAAGGGTGGGGAAGAGGGGTAGTAGAAGTAAAGCGAGAGAGAGAAGAGTGAGGGGGGGCTCCGAAACTCTTTCCCCCCATCATTACCCCCTACCCCTTAGCCCTCACCTACACTCCCCTTCCTTATCTCAGGTTGTCTCCTCGACTTCCTGTCTTCCTCCCCCTCCTCCTCTCTCTTCCTCCTCTTCCCTCCCTCCCCTCTTGTACCCCCCCACACAGTAGGACACGCATATAAGGGATACCAACCTAAACATTTTGGTGTATATTTAGGGTTAATGACTATTGAATATATCGCTGTCAGATAGGGGCTACGGTTCGCCAATATCGCCAACTAGTACCTTCAATCGCCAACATAACACCGCTAACTAGTAACCTACGATCGCCAACATAACACCGCTAACTAGTAACCTACGATCGCCAACATAACACCGCTAACTAGTACCTACGATCGACCAAAAACACCGCTAACTAGTACTACGATCGCCAACAACACCGCTAACTATAACCTACGATCGCCAACATAACACCGCTAACTAGTATCTACGATCGCCAAAATAATACCGCGAAATAGTAGTTCCGATCGCCAATATATCATCACCACAGTATAGGGACAACGTGCGTATATATATATAAAAAAAAATATATATATATACATCGGCCGCCAAACCGTGAGCCGATATTGAAAACATAAATGACTTGATTCTCTCTAAATTGGCCTATCCACTATCTAAACCCTACCTGGCCACCACACTACATGGCCACCTGACTACCTGGCCATCTGATCACACTGGTTCGTGGTACAGTGGGATGGAGGGTTCTATTGGTTCGTGTTTCAGTGGGAGGGTTCAGGGTTCGTGGTTCAATGGGAGGTTCGGTTCGTAGTTCAGTGGGATGGAGGTTCCGGGTTCGTGGTTCAGTGGGATGGAGAATTCAGGTTCGTAGTTCAGTAGGATGGAGGGTTCGGGTTCGTGGTTCAGTGGGATGGAGAAATGGCGCATGATGGGGAGAGAGAGGAAGGAGGGAGAGGGGAGAGGAGAGAGAGGGGGAGAGGAGTGGATAGGGAGGGGCGGTGACAAGTCAAACTAGTGGAAGAAAGATAAGCAGTGATATGATTGGTGGGTGGGAGGACCAATGGGGGAGCTGGTAACAGTGTCACCCCGCCCTACTGTCATCCACTGTCATCCCACCCACCGCTGCCCCGCCCACTCACATCTACTGTTATCACGCCACCCACTGCCACTCCACCCACTCACACCCACTGTTATCACGCCACCCACTGCCACTCCACCCACTCACACCCACTGTTATCACCTCACCCACTGCCACCCCGCCCACTCACACCCACTGTTATCACCTCACCCACTGCCACCCCCAACCAGCCCACGACGGCCACCCTCTGTCACCCACGGCCACCCATTACCACCCACTGCCACCCACGACGACCACCCTCTGTCACCCACGGTCACCCATTGCCACTCACTGTCACCCCACCCTCCACCAGCCCGGCCACCCTATGTCCCAACCACCACCCTGCCACCCGACGACCACCCTCTGTCACCCACGGCTACCCATTGCCACTCACTGTCACCCCACCCACTTATCCATTAAACAACGAAACGTCAGCCACTGTTCACCTCCGCTGCTGACATCAGAGTGTCAGCCAATGAACCATCGGCCGTCCAGTGAACAGAAGAACGTAAACATGAGCCAGGTTGAACAATGACTGGAGGACAATTGTGTACAGTTCACAACAATGGTGAACAGTGGAGGGAGAATAATGGTGAACAGTGATGAACAATGGTGGCCTTAATATGGTGTGAGAGGGCGGTCCCTTACCCCCCCACGCCCACATGTCCGGCCCGTGTCAGCCCATATCTGCAACCGTGCCATTGCAAACTCGTGTGTGCAATGCAGTGTGAGTGGAGCTTAATTGAAAACTGTTATTTTGGTGTATATATTGTGTGTGGAGTCATATGTGTGTGAGTTGTGTTTTATTAAAGTATGTCCTTGATTAATGGACTTTTATATATATATAAGAGAGAGAATAAAGGTTAACAAAATCTTTATATCCGCCAAAACTCACAATAATATAAACATAAATAAACTCCTTGCACAACACAACATGTCGCTCGGTAAATAAACATATAAATAAATTTTACATATATTCTCTTTAAGCGGGAAGAGTTACATTCGCTTTACGCACCATTTACTTGGCCTTCGAATACCCTACTTTGCTAAATGTTCCCATTCCCGTAATTCCCAGATTCCCATCTTTATAGTCGCCTCCCAGCGGCTAAAATCCTTCTAGCGATTGGCAACACTTATCTCTCCTGGGCGAGTGTTGCCAACGTTCACCAGATATGATAAACGTTACCAGTAGTCGCCAAACCATTACATAATTACAGTATTGAGGACGTTTTTCTGAGCGGTCATGGGCATATACGTGTCCTAGATATACGTTTATTGACTATCTAACGTTTATGGCCATGGGCGAGGTCGTCTATAGAGAATTATGTACGTTTTTTTTTTAATACAAAATAAATTTCGCTAAAGGACATGCTGTCGTATACACATCATACTGCATTTAAATTGCTTTTAACATATATTTACTAAGTGTGTATGTATTTTTGTATATGTGTGTACTAATGTGAAGGATATTGTGTGCGTTTCTGGTCGTGTACGTTGACTGTGGTGAGTGTGTGTGTGTGTGTAAGTGTGGGAGTCTTTGGGCAAGGAGCCAAAATCTGCCGTGCCAGGCGAACGAGAAAATGGTCAAATAGCAATAACAGTAATAGAAGATAGAGCTTGATAAACGGAGGGGAGCAGCCAACGGGCAACAGAGCCGGTTAAACGGAAAAGGTCGGCATCAGACAACGGAGGTGATGAACGGTATGACCACTGAGGCAAACGGGAAAGAAAAATATCCTGGCTGGGTTAACAGACGTCGCCTGAGAGTAACAAGACCAACATGTAAATAATTAGAATATACTTGTTTTTAATAATTTAAGATTAAAATTCGTATTCTTGTTTTCCTATATTTAGATAGAAGTATATTACTAATTTTATGTGAGTATATTAATTAGAATTATATATTTAACAATAATGGCTCTTGCAGGTACACATTATTAACCACTCCAAGGATTTCCATTTTTTTCAAAGCGTTTTACAATTATATTTTGGTACACAATTCTATTAAATACATCAATTTATAAGATGTTTCTGTCTCAATTTTTTTTTATGAGAACTCGATATTTTAGCAATGAGGATAAGTATTTATTTTCCAGACTGTGTGTGGAAATGTGGCTGAAGTCTTAACGTTAATGTCAACAATGGTCGAGGTGTTTGAGATTGTGTTGAGAAAGTGAGATTATTATCGCGTTACTACGACCACTTGAGCACAGCTACACCACCAATACCAGGTTTGATTACTTTATTATTTTAGTGTACATAGTGAATGTTTTGTAAAGTAAACAACAACAGAACGTGATTTTTTTTTGATGAGAATGGTTAAAGGGACGAAATGGGTGACTTCCCATTCAGACTAAAGGGTAATTATTATGTATCAACGTAATTGTAACTAAAGAATGTTATATTTTGAGGTTTAAAGGCCAGTTATACCCTATTATTGTACCGTGTATTGTTGTTTTAACTTATTTAAATTAAGATAGTG